TAAATACAGGGTACTTCTGCTATATCAGTAACTGCATTAATTAAAAATGTTTTTTTAATGAAAGTACTTGAAAGTAATTGAAGTTAAATCTAAACATGATGCTGTTTTTGTTCCATTCTAATTGAATGCTTTTTTTTCTGATCGACCAGCTGCATATGGCTGCTCGTATTCTCTAAAACTTGCGTCTTTAGGGTTTATTTCTATGGTAGGAAATGATTACAAATGTGATAGATGGAGAGTGGGAAGTGACTGAAAATATTGATTTGTTCAACACAAACTTGTTGATTTTTCTGTGTGACGTTTTAAAGGCAATAAAATATTTTCAAATATTTTATAGTTTGAAATTATGAATTACTCTTTGACAAACCAATAAATCTTTGTTTTATTGCACACCTTTTATGTTGCTAGAATATTTTGCACAGTATTTAGTATTGCCAAAGTTATCGCTAACATTTTTGTCGAGATTTACAAACGTTTCGCTTAATTTCGCAAACCGATAGGTGAAATTTCAATAAGCTGATTTGTTCGCAAGAATAATTTTAAAAAAATACAATTTGTGGTTTAATAATTTCTTTAATTTTATAGGACTTCATGACAAACAATATTTTTCAAGAAAATTTCCTTTTTAACAGCAAAGAAAAAATTCTTAGGATTTCTTACGCTTGAGCATGCAACATACGACTGTCCATGGGTAAATTATCTTTCTGGAGCCAAATTCCAACTCTTGGAAGTGTTTCACCTTGTGATTTGTTTATAGTTCTCGCACACGCAGTGAGAACTGAAAACTGGATTCCTGTACATAAATACTTAAAGGAAAGGTAGGCAAAAAACAATATTGCATTTTTATTAAACAAAATTATTTTTAAAAGAGTGGCAGTATTTTGTTAAATAATAAAACTTATATTTTTTCCTAAAAATTGATTAAAATTTATTGTACAAACCTAGGCACCCTAATAAAACCAACTGCACTTTCTTTGTTACTTACCTGTTTGCATTTCTCAAAATTTGGTTTCAATCGGTCAATGTCTGGCTAACTTAGAGGGTGGAACAGACTGACTAACGAAAATCACCGAATTTTATATGTACATCATATTTTGCACATACAACTATCTATCTATACAGAAAATGTTCATGTATCGATTTCAACTATATCCAATATTTTCAGAGCAACTGACAAAAAAGTTATTTTAATAGTCATCATATATTTTTTTTAATGAGAAACTAAAAAAAAAATCTTTGTGGTTTCTTTTTTCAGTGGCATATTATCTTAACTCTGACTGGATACGTAGAAGAAGCCGAAACATCAACTGAAACCATGCTATCTTCCTTGAAAAATTATTCTTACTTCTGGAGAAGTGATGTGGTGACCATAGACGTCAGTTTGATGCATAACTTCTTTAGTCGTCAACCAAATAATCAGCAAAAATGTGTGAATTAACTTGAATTCCTGCTTTCGAAACTGAGGTGAATTCCGTTCACTTTGGTTGATATAATGAGTTTATAGTAACGCCTCTCTGCACTAATCATTAATAGAGGCATTATTTAAAGTGAGTCTGTTAAAACTATAGACTTTCCTGGTCTGTATGTATTTAACTGGACTCTCAGGACAATTAGCATTTTTCAAGCATCTAGACGCCATTATTAAAGAGAGAAATGTCTCAAATCCAAATCAAACCAAACAAGCCTATAATTAATAAGAAATGCCATTGAATGAAGAATTCTTTAAAATTAGAACTGAAGTCTTGTCGTCTGAGAGACGTGTTGAGGCCTGGAGATGTTTTTTTTTGTTTTGTTTTGTTTTTTTATATGCGACGAACATTTTTTCCATTAACATATATAGACATATATAGAATTTGAGATTGGGTACCTCGAAGCGGTGTAATGTTTAGCAAGCTTGTCTCACTAGAACAATTACGACTGAGTAGTGAGTTCGATCCTCACTGGTTGCCCCATACTTTCGGCCTGGTGTCACATCTGCGCTATGCTTGGGAAATCACTATTTGGGCACCCCGAGGTGGTGTAATGGTTAACAAGCTTGTTTCGCTAGAACAATTACAACTGAGTAGTGAGTTCGATCTTCACTGGGTACCCCATACTTTCGGGCTTTTGCCACATCTGAGCTACGCTTGGAAAATCACTATATAGAATCTGAGATAGATAGATAGATAGATAGATAGATTGATTTTAACAGGCTGCGATAGATAATGAAAATATTTTGTGAAACGATAATTAAAAAATTAGGCTAAATAGATTTCTATTGAAAAGATTGTGCTAGATAGATAGATAGATAGATAGATAGATAGATACGATCTAGCTTAGATAGATAGGTTTCTGACTGATTAGAACTGGTAGATATATAGTTATGTCTGCTGAATAGTTCTCAACCCATTCAAGGATTCTCTCTAACAGTGTCATTCGTAGTTTCTCAACCTCGGCACCAGATTCTAAATAAATAAATTAAAATCACTTCCAAAGTAAGTTTAATCCTTTCAGTTTTTCTCTGAAAATGATTTTCATTCATACACATTGTTTTACGAACAAGACATTTAGCAATTTATTTCCTTGTAGTATTGGGCTCACCTCAAACCATGCGTGTATAGATTTAGAGCTCAGTTTCCTTCGGAGAAGCCAGATGCAGGGTTTACCTGTGAGGTGACCTAGCCGTGGGTGGGTGAGATCCGTGGGGAGGGTAGAGATCATCTGGAAAGGTGTCGGCCCGGCTCCGCCTGGGATGCATGAGGGTCAATGAACCGAACGCAAAAGGCAAATATAGAAACACCAAATAACAAAATGGGCAGTCTCTGAGACACCACGCACGAGAATGTAAGGTCCGCAGGGTTGTCCTCTCTCTCTCTCTCTCACACACACACACACACACTGGTTGACAATAATTGTAGAAGTCAACAGTTGAATAAAATGTAAGGTTGGTGTTGTTATCAAAATCAACATTAGAAAACCGGAATTGGTTTAACAATTTGTTTAACAATTTAAAGACGATCTGAATATCGCATAGAGGCGTGAAACAACCAGCCGCCATCCAATGTTTATTCCTATGGCCACAAGATCTCTGACTCAGATGTTGAGTAGTGGGTTGTGATAAAAACCTTTAAGCACCCTATCATATACGAAAGGGCAACAATAAGTTCATTTTATAACACGTAGATAACTAAAATTTATATTAACATTTCATTGTATATTGCTTGGTCGAGGTAATTAATATTCACCAGTGAATTAGTGTATTTACAAGGAAAAACTTTCTGTGGAAAATTCATTTTTCATCATTAAGTTACGTAAGTTAGTTATATGCCCATGTATAAATATGTATGTTGATAGATAGATAGATAGATAGATAAATAGATATGTAGAAATGGCGTTAGATAGATAGATAGATAGATAGATAGATAGATAGATAGATAGATAGATAGATAGATGTGAAGAAATTGCGATAGATATATATGAAGAAACGGCAATATATAGATAGATAGATAGATAGATAGATAGATAGATAGATAGTAATTGCAATAGCTAGCTATCTATCTAGATAGATACATAGATTTGAAGAAATTTCGATTGACAGATATGAAGAAACTGCAATATATATATATATGTATATACATAGAAAGAAAGTAAGAAAGAAAGATAGGCATGAAGAAACTGCAATAATAGATAGATAGATAGATAGATAGATAGATAGATAGATAGATAGATAGATAGATAGATTAAAATAAAAATGTTATAAGCACGAAACAAGCAATTATATTGGAAATTACGTATAATTTACGCCCATGTCAATTTATCATTCTGTCTTTCGTCATTCTATCATTTCATTAATCCATTATTCTGTCATTCGATCATTCTGTTCTTATACTCACGATAGTTTGAAAACATCCAATTATTTTGCCTTGGGCCAAATAAAATGATGTTTTCTTAACATCTCCATACCCACACCACTCATCTATTTAACTTTTCTTCTTTTTTTTTTTTCTTTTTTTTCATTTGTTTATTTTATTCATTTATCTGCCATTAAAGACGTAAATGTATTTCCGAAAATCCAACTGCTCTATCCTGAAGAATCTTTCTGTGTCGGTGTTTTTATTGTTCTGCATATTGCCAACGAAATTACAATTGAGATTTGTTCGAATAATTGACTCATTCTTTATGTTGCTCATACCACGACAACGTTTAAGCCCAATCTACAGCCTTCTTCAGGAATATAATCGACTATTAATGAATCTTCTCAAGGTTATAAGAAAAAGAAAACAAATTCAACAATTTGCTTTATGTTAACGATACCATGTTCCTGAGATGCGACAACTTACAAATTACAGTTGTAAATTACAGTTGTAAATTGTGTCAAGTGGCAAATTACGGCCATCTTGCGCTTGGGAATAAAGCAGAAAAGTTAGAAAAAAACTGGTTTAATACGAAACAAGAATAATTGTTTTTTGGGTTTTTTGTTTTTGTTTTTTCACGTGGTAATTTGGCACTAAAATATGTCTACCACAAAAGAAATCAGGACTGAGTTATGATATTTTCGTGGACTTAGTTTCGCAAATAGTGATTATATATTTTGGCTGGCTATCTATCTATCTATCTATCTATCTATCTATCTATCTATCTATCTTTCTTTCTATCTATCTATCTCAGTCTATTTACTGCCTTCTTTCTTTGTATCTGTCTACGTCTTTCTCTCTATCTTAAACTGTTCACGTCTATCTATCTATCTATCTATCTATCTATCTATCTATCTATCTATCTATCTATCTATCTCAGTCTATTTCCTACCTTCTTTCTTTCTATCTATACACATCTTTCTCTCTATCTTAAACTGTTCACATCTATCTATCTATCTGTCTATCAAACTCAACGTGTTCAAATCTATCTATCTATCTATCTATCTATCTATCTATCTATTTATCCCCCACGCTTTCTGTCGATACGTAATAATTATCGGGTTCTGCGTCACATTGCGAGTGCAGAAGATTGTAAATGGTGTGTAAACTCTATTATATAATGAAGTGTAGGGAGTGATGAAATATCTCAAATACACGTCGCTTGATTTCCTGTAAGGTATTTTCCGACAATAAAATCTAACTTTTAATTATCATATGTCGCGTGGCATATTGTCACACTAGCATGATTTTATGACATTCATATTGGTATAGCTTTATATGGTGCTATGTTTTTATATTTACTAAGCTTACCAAAATGTGGCAAAAGGCAAAATAGAAAACACTAAAGTAGAAAGAATGTGTTGCGCCAATTTTCTAAAAGATTAGAACCTGCTATCTCAAAATCAGCGTTCTAAACTTGAACAACTGCAAATGGCAAAATACGCAAATAGCTGAAGTTTTCATATATTGAGTGTGTATTTGCATGCAATGGAATCGTCTCTAATTAAAACTAATTGGGAAAAATAAGACCTGGTTGATCTTTGCGAGTGTTCAGTCAGATAAAATGTTTCTTCTATACGAATCGAACTCATAACTCTTTCTTTACGATACGGGTTGAAATCTTGTAGTTGGTTTTGAAATCACATTCGCTTATAAAGTGAATTTAATCCACACTGGGTGTTGTTCTCTCTACTGTGACATTCTAGCAGCTAAGGGGATAATCGTATTATCGAGTAGGATGCTTTTATCACCATTCTATCCGTTACGGCCATTATTACGACCCCATCTGCCAAATTGTGACCTAGTGTTAAACTTGATTTTAACCCTTAAATGACGGGAAAAGGTTTCGCCTCGTTTCTCTTTGAGAAGAATGCACGCAAACATAACACTGTCGTTTGCTTGTTCTTCAAACTTTATTTGCTGGTAAAAAAAAAATCCAGGAAATGACATAACTGCATCAATTCTAGAGTTGACAATTTAGATTTGAATATGGAATGAATGATGGCCATATCGTTGGAAAAGGTTTCAAACTTCAATCAATGGGATCTCTCCTGATCTTCAACGACACATCAATTGATGAATCCCATTGCTTTAGTGTTAAATAAATAAATTTATAAAACGCTTGAAAAGCAATCACAGAAAATTTGACTCGACCACAAAATTCACCAAATTTGTCAAGATTTGAAAGCCTTGAATCGCAGACGACACGCCCGAGGACATTATTATAATTGCTTTTCTGATTAACGAGAAAATAATGATCGAAATTGCATCTTAAATTGTCTAAATATCTCAGTCAAATTTTATTAGCCAAGTCAAATTGGTATTAATTGATATTAACTAAACAATGTTGGTAAATCATTCACGATTTACTTACATGACAAATATACTGTATGAATTTTAGCTTATAATTTCTTCTACAGGTATCAATTCTGTCTGGTGTTTCTGGTGGTTCATAAATGTCAAGTTGTTAATGGCTGTAAATAGTTAGACAATTGCTTATAAACTATGCTTCATTTCATTATGCTAGTTCCTATTTTCACAATTGGTACTGACCAACCAATATTGGTTAACCTTTCACGATTTACTTGTATGAATTTACTTGTATTTATTTGAGCTATTTACATTATTCGGAATGTTGTCCTTATCTTTATTGACTAGACCATGAATTTTTCAACTTATAAACAATGTCCTAGTAACATTTTTACCAGCACTCATATTGCAATTTTGTTCTTATTATAGCACATCTAATATCTCTAACAAGTATAAGTATACCAACATCCATTTCATAGACTGAAAGCTTTTAATCGGTAGACTCCAGCCTTATTCGGGTTGAATTTCGAACAGAAACCCTTATTTTGTCCGAGGTTGACTTTTTCGGGACTTTATACACGGTGGGACTTTTTCTGTCCCCGACAACGTAAGATAAATTTGTTTAAGACCCTAACTCATAGGGCTCTTATGATCTGTTCCGAAGGCTTTCTCTGTGGTGAAGCTGATTTTATTAAGATGACACTTTCCAAAAATGGATATCCTTTGGATGTTTTAATATTATTCGTGATATCATCAATAATTTTCATAGGGTTAAGCCGCATCTTGTTAAAAAATGGCCTGTCTGTTTGCTTCCTTCATTGGGTCAGAGGGTGAGTCTTTAGCTAGGCGAATTTCTTTGCGATCAATAGTTAAGGATGTCCCCACATCATGTTAACTCTGTTATTTACAAATATGAATGTAGTTGTGAACTCGACTACATTCTTCAACGTTTGGATTATAGGATAAAGCAGCATTTACCGCCCAGGATTTTGAATCCGGCCGCTAGCAATAGTCAACTTGTTAATACATCCGGGTATTGTACAACACATTATTAATAACAGGATTTTTATACTTTAGTGTGGACCGTTTTTCAGTTCTATCAAGGTCCCACTTTATATCATCTCGTTCTGGGGTTCTTATATGTTTGCTTATATATTATTGGTCTCTAGTTTTCCTTATTTTTTTTTCTTTTTCTTTATATTTCATTTACACGTATTATTTTATATATAAGACTATATTTTTTTTTTCGTATTAAATTTACATATATGCCTTACGCTTATTCCTTACTAGTATTAAGTTTTCTATAACAAGTATATTGTCTGATATATATACTTAAACATGAAAACAATAAACAAAACTAAAATTTTGAAGCTATATACAAAAACAGTTAAAACTTAACCTTAACAAAATAAACTACGAAATAAATATTCTTAAATGCCTATAATTGATAACAGAAGCCAAGTTATTGTTTTCACTCTCATCGTTGCTTTGAAATTTTCATGCAACAAAAAACAGACTACCATTATTGTTTCGTTCGTGTATTGGTTGATATATTGAAAAGTAATTGTCATCTTTTGATAATGGCTTATGTAAGTCGAAAAGCTTAAAAACATTGAATGTCCTTCAATAATTCAACAATATCAAAGGAATACTTAAAATAAATAGACAAAACTTTTCTATATCATTTTATGAAACATGCATCAATGAAAATTGCTGCTTAAATATGCAAATATATATATATATATATATATATATATATATATATATATAAGTCATTGATATTTATTTTTTAATTTCGTATATACAAAGATTGTCATAAGAAAGATTTAACCTCCAAAGGAGAACAAAATACAGTAAAGTTATTGAGTGATTGGAAAACACCGTTGGAAATAGTGAAAAAGTTGAATGTCAGAGCAATTCAAAAAGAAATAGAAATCATTGTCAAGATAAATACAAGAAAAATTGATCATAAAAAAAAAAATCAGAAAAATTAAGAAGTTAATAAGAAAGAAAAGTGAATTGACTGGCAAGAAGAAGCTGATGTTGTGAATGTAAACAAAGAGAAAAGATGCAGAATATTAAGAACATTGGCTAAAAACATTGAATTAAACTATGACATTATATAAGCATCACAAAGAGAAAGGTGTAAGTTGAGCAAAGATAGACATGGAAACTGATTTCACAATTCTAGTGATAAATATGGAATATTGAATGTACATTATTCAAGGTTGGATCTTTCATTGAAACAATCAACTAAAATAAAATATAGAGTTGAGTTATACGTCCACACTGTCTATAAATATAAACGCTCTATCTACAACAATAATGGATAAAATAACCACTCATTCCATAAAAATATTACAAAGTTTAAATAATATATATGTGTGTGTGTGCAAATATATAGCAAAATAGGAAGAACACGTTAAGTAAATAACGTATAATAAATAACTGAGGATGAAACAGAGCTTGATACTTTAATTCAATTTAATTTTTATAATTAAATTGAAATTCTTAACTCCTGTTTTTGAAACCTGATAACTCTTATGTAGCGAAGAAATCATATTTCAAAAAATAATTATATATATATATATATATATATATATATATATTATTATTATTGTTTTAAAAACATTTTGAAATCGCTACACAATACACTATGTATATATATATATATATATATATATATATATATATATATATATATATATATATATATATATATGGAGGGGGTTATATATATCTGTGTGCATCTGTATGTTTGTGTGTGTGTGTTCAAATATATATGATAGGTTGCTGAGAAGGACTTGTCCGACGAGCCTCTAAAATCAAATCAAATAACCAAATATCTGAATTTTTCTAGGTTGGTCCAAGATCTTTTCATCACCTAAGAGAGATAAAATGAAGGAGGAAGAGAGACCACGTGTCTGATATTGAGCACGCATCACACATAAATATATCAACATTTTACACACACACACACACATATATATATATATATATATATATATATATATATATATATATATATATTTAAATTTGGGACCCCATAAATTATACTAGCGTTTTATCAACAAGTCGAATATGCGTGAAACCTGATTAATCAATGAAAGTCGAACAACACTATAGTAAAAACTAGCAGTAGAGCCCGGCGTTGCCTGAGGATATAACAGTAAGAGATAGATCAAGTATCCACCATCATAAAGACTGAAAAATAAAATTGACAAAGATTATTGTTTAAGGTTGACGGACACGCATGTCTTAATTAGTTTTTTTTTATTTTTTACGAATTGGTCAAACCCAAACTCAAACAAAAACATTGTTTTCAATCGTTATGAGTCTCCCGATTGAATAGAATAATTTTATAAACAATTGTCTTGTAAATGGAATTTTTAAAGCATTCGGAATGTAAAAATAAAGAAAAAAGTGTGCAAGACAATAAGAAACACTACATGCCAAAAAAAAAGTGAAGTTTTGTTAAAATCGGTTGAAAAATGTAAGTAGCCTTTCTGTAATCTTTTAGTTTTACAATTTATGATTTTTACTTATTGAATACAGTAAAAAATTGCATATTTTGCTTGTGGTGATTCATAATTAGAATTCTGATTTGAATATATTTTCTACTCGTTGATTCTAATACAAAAAATATTAACTTTATTTGGGTTTATTAATTATGATCTAACAAATCTTATTCATTTAGTAGCCTTTCTGTAATAATAATCTTTTACAATTTATGATTTTTAACTTATTGAATACAGTAAAAAATTGGACACCATGTGTATTTAAAGTAGTTTCCCGTT